GCTGCGGAACTGGATGGTCTCAGAGTGCCGTGTGCGCAGGAAGGAGGCCCGAGTTGCAGAATAAGCGCTGGCTGCACCCTGCTGCCAGCTGGCACGAGGTCTCTGGTACACCCCACCATGAACACAGGTGCCGGGTCGGCATCGCCCTTAAGTTGGGAGGGGACCCAGGGTCCAGGGGGGTCAATGCCCACTCCAGGGTCAACGTGAGGCCACGCAGACCTGCAGCCGGGGATATCTTACTCCCAGTCCTGGGTAATGGATGGTAGTTTCTCCTTTGACCAAAGTATCCTTTTTGTTTAAAAAATTTATTATTATTATTATTATTGGAGAGATTTTCGCTATAGGGCACGTGCCCTCGCCAGACAGAGAGAGACATAGAGACAGAAAGCGAGAAATCACCCCCCAGGGGGGATGGTCACATCGTAGTCCCTTCTCCTCCATTCTCCTCTCAGGATCTTGGGCACGCACACACACGCGCCCTGCGTGAATTTTAAGCCACCGGGTCCGGGACGTGAACCGTGGTCAACTACGTGGGAGTCCAGCGACATAGCCATTATGCTAACCGCTGGTTCCATTTGACCACAGTATCTTGAAATTGGTTCAAAGTGGGAGCCGCTGGAGGTCGAGGCTCTCCCCGGAGCGTAGAGTCGTGTCTTTCAGCGTACAGAAGGCTAAGAGCCCTGTAAGGGCCTGGATGAAACATACATGTCTAGCTCAGTAATTTCCCCCTGTGTCCTAGAATATTCCTAATTATCTCATGGCATAGTGCGGTGGTTCACAAAAGCCTTCGGGTTGAGCACACTTTGATTTCTCTTGGTGTCTGAGGCAGGCCGGGACACCCCAGCACCGTCTTGGAGGCCGTGGGCCTGGCCGGGGCTTTGAAGGGCAGGGAGGAAAGACCGCAGCGCAGCTGGGCGGCTCATGCTGGGAGCAGCGAGACAAGGGCAGGGAGCGCGTGTGTTCGGGGAAGGCTAGCCCGTCATGATGCATAGCCTGCCCCCACGCGGCTCTGGTTAGGGGCTGCGATCCGTAACCCAGACCATAGGCCAGGACCTTAGAACAACAGAAATAGTCTCCCACTCTCTGGAGACCTGAAGTCTGAAATCAGGGTGCTTCTTTGGCACCTTCCTGGCTGGGGGCCACCGGCATCTCTGGCAGGCTCAGCGTCGGAGGCCACGCTCAGCGCTCTGTCCCCATGCGGCCTCCTCCCTGGCTGCCTTCTGTCCCTGTCTCTACGCTTCCTCTTTTGATAAGGACATTGGTCAGGTTGGATTTAGGCCCATTTAATGATGTAATTGTCACTGCACCAGTAATGGTCCTGTTTCTGAATTAGGTCACAGTCACGTGCCCGGTCAAGAACTTCAGCATATCTTTTTCATGGGGGGCAAACGCCGTGAGGAGGGCTCACTGCCCCCTGCCGTCCTGCTGGGCCTGTTTCTTCGCCCTTCCCCGCTTCGCTATTCCAGGGACTGTAGTCTGTGAACTACAGTCCCTTCTCAGTCTGTGAACTCCTCAGCCCTCAGGTCCGGGAGTCCTGGACCACAGGCCCCAGCCAGCTCCAGAGGACACCCCCAAGTAGGCAGTTTTCCCTGTAGCCCTATGGAAAGAGCTGGCTGTTATTTTATTTTTCTTTTGAGAGGTTTTTGCAACAGGGCATGTGAGCTTGACAGAGACAGAGAGAGAGACAGAGAGACAGAAAGCAAGAAATCACCCCCTAGGGGGAATGGCCATGCCACAATCCCTTCTCCTCCATTCTCCTCTTGGGATCTTGGGCACACATGCACACGTGCCTGGCGTGAGTTTAAGCCACTGGGTCCAGGACTTGAACCGGCGGTCAACTACATGGGAGTGCAGCGACATAGCCATTACACCAACTGCTGGTCCCAGAGCTGGCTGTTATTTTTAAGTCTGAACAGATGGGGCTCTGTAAACCCAAATTCAGCGCAGCTCCCAGACTAAAGGGGCAGGGCCCCGTCTTTTCAGGGGCTTGAGCTCATATTCCAACAGAGCTTCTCGATCTGAATACTTCTCAGACGTGTTTCCAAACACACAAAGTCAAGTGTGAAGGGTTACAGGGGAGGCGTCCAGGACTTGAACCGGCGGTCAACTACATGGGAGTCCAGCGACATAGCCATTACACCAACTGCTGGTCCCAGAGCTGGCTGTTATTTTTAAGTCTGAACAGATGGGGCTCTGTAAACCCAAATTCAGCGCAGCTCCCAGACTAAAGGGGCAGGGCCCCGTCTTTTCAGGGGCTTGAGCTCATATTCCAACAGAGCTTCTCGATCTGAATACTTCTCAGACGTGTTTCCAAACACACAAAGTCAAGTGTGAAGGGTTACAGGGGAGGCCAGTTACGTGGAAAGCCCCGAGTGAGGCAGCCCTGCTGGTGTGGACTGTAGAGAGAGGCAGGTAGTTGGATCCCCAGCAGGGTAGATTGCGGTGAGGCGGTGGCCCGGTGAGGATGGGACAGCCATGTGGTTGAGAGGCCAGCTCTGCCGTCTGCCAGCCTGTGGCCCCGGCCAGGGTGGGATGGCAGTGGGAACGGCTGCAGCTTGAGCGCGCACCTTCCAGGGCTCAGAATCCCAGGCTCTGTCCTCAGCTGTGCCTGCCCTAGGGGTGGCTGCTCCCACTGCCCTGCAGGCATCTGTGCCAGCCCCCCGGAAGCCACTCCTGAGCTCCAGAAATTATCCAGGCCTGTGGCTCATGGGGGAGCCCCACCCAGGCTCCCAAGTGCCCCTTCCAGCTGTTCTGGTCTTCCTTCTGCCGTACACGCTGGCTCCCTTCCATCCCCGAGCTCATCCCTGTGAGGCTCAGCCACCCTGGGCCAGGAGGTCGTTTGCTGCCCACGTGCTGTCACCGCTGTCCCCAGGCTACCCTGGCTCCATCCTATCTGTCCTGCATCAGGCCCAGGCTTTGTATGCAGGACCGGAGGTCCAGGTAGACTGAGTTTCTGTGTCTGAGTGGGGAAGGGGATGTTCACGGTGCAGGGTCACTGGTCTGAATGGAGCCATGGGAAGGGCAAGGGGGAGGAGACTTGGAAGGGCCTTCTTGGAGGTGATGAGATTCTCTGCCTGTCTGGGGGCCTGGGGGACCATTCCTGGTTGAGGTGGCAGAGGGCAGGTCCTGTTCAGCTGAGACGGGGAGAGGAGGTTGGAGGTGGGGTGCAGCAGCAGCTGGCGTGGAGGGTGATTGGGGGTGGCTGTGCAGGGAGAAGGGTGGAGTCACAGGGGTCTTGGTGCTGCCACTTGTCCTGCCTGGGGAGAGCGTCTGGAGGGGAGAGCGTCTGGAGGACAGCCCAGATTCGGCAGCTCAGTGAACAAAGAACTGACCCATGTGTCTCTGGATAGGGGCCCAGTCAGGTGCGGCAGCCCATGGCGGGGCCATCTCACAGAGATGCCACATCCCTCAGCGGAGAGCCGCCCCATCCAGGATCTCTGTAGCCAAGGCAGGCTTAGGGACAGTTCTGAACCCTGGAGATGAAGAGTCCTGGGAACTGGGGAGGGGGCTGTTAGGAGTCTTTATGGGCGTCTGCAGCCTTCCAGGGACTGGAGGTGGTGGCACTCCTGTCCCATGTCATAGGTTTCCAGGGTGGCACAGCCGCTGAGCTGCAGAGCTGTGAGCAGAATGTCCATCCCGCGCCCAGCACTGTTGCCCAGGCTACACAGGGCTCCCAAGGAGAAATAGGGTTGCCCACTGTGACCTAAGAGGTCACGGTGAGCACTGTTCTGTCCGAACTAGACAGCCCACAATTTTAGGTGAACCCCAGCCCAGTGTTCCGAGGCCGGCCAGGGCTCAGAGCACTTTGCCAGAGGGTCTATGCAGATGCACTGAGGTTGTACCTGGGACTCTTCTGCAGTCTCAGGAAGCCCCAGAACTCCCTGGCTTCCCAAACTTGGCCACTGAAGGCTTCCGTTTGTGGCCAAAGCAAGGAGTCCCAGTGGCCGTGCAGCTCCTGGACCTGTGAACGCAGGGAAGCAAGCAGCTCTGCACTGTTCAGACCAGCGTTTCCGGAGCCCCGGCCATGCTGCACCCGACGCCCAGTGCCCAGTTTCCTTCCTGCCTGGCCAGGCAGCCTCCCAGTTGTCCCTTCACTCCCTGGGCTGGGGACAGGGCATCTGCCTGCCCTTTTAGCCTCGTGACGTGCTCTCACGCCTGCCAGGCTCCCAGCAGCTGGTGAGCACCTTCGAGGTCTGGGCTGTGCCATCCGTGACCCAGATCCTGCACTCTCCAGAGGGTAGGCTGCCCTGTCCATGCCAGGCCCCCCACAGGCTCTCGAGTCAGTTTCTGAACACGAGCTGTGCACCGCTAAGTGCACGCGTGTCTAGCACTCAGCTTGTGGTGGTGAAGAAAGCCAGGTCCCTGTGCCCCCCTCCCTGGGGGAGCAGAGCTGGGGGCAGTCAGCCCTCCTATCTGTTCCTCTTCTCCCTGTGCCACCGTGGTAGCCACTTGGTGGCTGGATTGTTTGGCACTGAGCAAACACAGCAGACTGTGGAAGGAGAAGAGATGGTGCTGAGGAGGTTCGGAGGAGGTTCTGTCCTGGTCAGCTGGTCTCTGAGCAAGGGCTGGCAGGTGTCCGGTGATGCAGCACCCTGGCACCAAGTTTTGGGGATGTTCACAGGCAGATGCACAGCCAGGAGCTGATAGGCCACTTGGTGACCGATGGCACATGCAGTGTCAGCCCAGTGCCACTTCTAGTCGTGGCCAAGGGCTCCGTGAGCTGCCGGGGCAGCATGGAGACTTCCTATCTGCACCTCAAGCCCTCCATGGAGGGCCTGGCACTAAATGTAATAACTTAGAACAAAGGCGACTACGGGAATGGTGAAAATTTAAGTGCTACCCAGCCCAGAAGAGACTGCTGCTCCTGGCCTTTCGCCAGCAGCCGTCGCAGGTTTGTGACTCTTCTAGACAGCACGCACTGGTGTGTGTGCAGGTGTGTCTGTGTATGTCCATGTGCATGGCGTCCCAGCTGCCCCTGACGTCCCTGCCTTTGCCCGCAGGTCTCTGTGCTGGTCCTCTTTGCCCTGGCCTTCCTCACCTGCGTCGTCTTCCTGGTCGTCTACAAGGTGTACAAGTACGACCGTGCCTGCCCCGACGGGTTCGTCCTCAAGGTAAAGCTCCTGCATCCCCACGCCTTTGACCTTGCCTTCGCCTTGAACGCCCAGTCAGCTGCTCCTGCGGTCTCTCCCAGCTGGCTCCGGGGCCGACACTGGGGCAGCAGGATCCTCGTGTTCTGCATCCAGGGAAGGGGCTCCTTGGGGAGCAGGGCAGGTAGGCAGAGGGCGTGGTGGGACCAATAGGAAACTCCCAAGCTTGAGGCCTGGGAATTGAACTCAGCAGTCTCAGGAGGGCCCTCCTGGCAGGCTCCCCAGCCAGGGGCTGCCCCTGGGAGACAGCTGGCTGACTCCTCCTCCCAGTGCATTGCTGTGGGGGTAGGGGAAAGGGCTGCGGGCCTCATGGGAGGGGAGCACGCACTGAGGCTGCTGAGGCCCAGAATGAGGACGGCTTTGCCCACGGTCACCCGGGGACCTGGGGGAGCAGAGCTGGGGGCAGTCAGCCCTGTTGACTATGTGTCCCTCTTCTCCCTGTGCCACCGTGGGAGCCGCTTGGTGGCTGGGCTGTCTACCTGTATGGAAATACTCGCTTTGCTTATATGTATATAACTTGTCTCAAGAAGTCCCCAAGTAGCGGAGAAGCAGGCATGCGGGACAGCTGGATTGCTGAGGAAACGTGAGGAGGGAGGAGGGAGGTGGTGAAGTCGGGGCGGGGGGAGCAGAGCGCACTCGCTGTGGATGTCCACTTCTGTGCCCTCGGGACTGGGCCCCACATTTCTGCACGTGCCAGAGCCAGTGGGGCACAGTCTGCCAGGATTTGGCATGGCTGTAATTCTCGTAAAGCAGGGGCAGCCAAGTGGTTCTGGTACTGAGCGCGTGCGCGAGCAGGCTCGGTTCCTCCACTGGCGCAAGAGGCTCGGTTTGGACTTTCCAGCCTGTGCAGGGACACGGAACCCTCCTGCAGGTTAGCCCAGAAGGCGGGGTTCCTGTTTCCCAGCCCAGCTCCCCTTCCTGACAACACCTCGTGTTGGCTTTGGGGCTAAGACCCCTGCCTCCCCGAGGCTCCTGTACATTTGCATAAGGAGCACGACATCCTTTGCTTACTGAGTGAGGTTATGAACAGGAAAGAAGGGTCAGGGGATTGGCCATTGCTTAGGGGCTGCAGTGTCTTTTAGGTGGTTAGGAAAGCCATGACATAGGAAAATATGATGCCCCAATAGAAAGCGAAGACTGGAGCAAAGGCCTGTGGGCGGCGAGTGATGGAGCATACAGGGCCTTGGGAAGGGCGCCGGGCCCAGAGAAGCCTTCCCCTACCCCTCACTCACACTTTACTCAGCAATCCAGTCCACACCTGGGGCTGGGCTGAACGTTTGTTTGGAGGCTGAGATGACACCAGGGCTTTAAGCAAACCTGTGTGGAAGGTGGGGGCTTCAGGGAGGACAGAGCTGGCCCCGGAGCAGTGAGCAGACCCCACCCACGGACGGGCATATAGTGTGGGTGCATGGAGGGTGCAGCGCGTGCTCAGGGACCAGCCCCGGGGGCTCCTGGGTGCAGGGAGGCAAAGGGAGATGAGCCACATTCTGGCCAGACTGTGCAGCAGCACCTTGAGTGCCAGGCAGAGGGCCCTGGACAGAGCAAGTGACAGGGATGATTCGCTGGGTCGCCTGGGGAGGCTGGAAGAGAAAGATGGGACAGCGAGAGGACCAAGGGGGTGAAGCTGCGGCAGAGGACCGTGAAAGAGGAGGTCAGGGTGGCGGGGATGGAGAGGAGGCCAAGGTGAGGGTGGGCTGGAAGACTGATCAACTCTGGGAGGTGGGCAGGACAGAGGGGAGACCCTGGTACAGAGCTGGGAGAGGGAGTGAAGATGCCTTGAGTGGGAACCGGGAGGCACAGGGGACAGCTTCCTGGGGACCTCCTCACTTGTACTGATGCGCACAGATAATCCAGGCCAGCAGCCCCATGGGCTGACCTGAGTTTCCTTCCCAGCTCATTCTCTCTGGGCTGGGGGCAGGTTCCCTGTCTAGGCGAGGGGGCAGCTGAAACCCCTTCCCCATTCTGCAGTCCCGATTCTGCTGAATAACCTGGCCCAGGTGGAGGGGACCCAGGTGATGCTCTGGCTCTGTGTTGGGAAGGACCTGCTGTATGCAGCCCGCCTTGGGAATGTGGAGCCCTCTGGAGCTGCACCCCCTGGGACTCGGGTGTTTTCCTCAGGCCCTGATGGGTGTCCTGGCTAGGGCACACCGTCGGGAGGGCCAGGAGCCGCTGCCCCGTACCTGACTGCCAGTGACCGAAGCGAGAGAAAGCAGAGGTGTAAGCACGAGTGGGTGTGCACATGGCACGCCGTCGCCGGGCGCCTCACAGTGGGCCTTACACAGGGTCTCCCTGCCTGCACCAGGAACCCCAGGACACTGTTCCGTCCCGGCCTTACTGACAGGAGATGGAGTCCAGAGAGGTTTTCCAGTGCCCGGACCGCAGCCTTCAGCTCATTCAGCATATTCACGTGTTTACCAAGTGCCCCTCCTCTGCTTGGCCGGACGAGACGCAGGGAGTGGTGGGGACGCACAGGCAGAAACTGACCCTAATGCCACACACAGATTTTCTTTTTTTTACTTCTTCAGGGGTGGGGGGAGAGACAGGGCTCCCACCAGGACCTTCACCCCAGGACCCTCTCCTAGTCTGGGCCAGAGCACAGGCTCATGGGTGCGGAGTGGTGGCTCAGGGAGCCCTCAGCACTCGCACTGAGGACCTTGCCCACGTGGGCCCAGCCAGCTGCGCCACCTCCTGGCCCACCTACAAATTCGTGTACTGGGTGCTCCTTTAGACTGGACGGCCTCGTTCACAGTGGGGCTCCCATGGGCAGCACTTAATAGGCTGGCCACGCAACGGGCTATCCTGAGCTGCCTCACGCCCCACCATGGTTGGTTATTGGTCTCATCTCACCTGTGAAGGAAGAGGCCCAGACAGGTTTGAGACCCTCCCAAGCTCGGGATTCACTCCCAGCTG